GTATGGCCACGTCTGTTGTAGAAAATAATAATAAAAAAATGCTAACCCCAGGAATTGGGAACCTTCCTTATGAAGAGATATTGAAAAAAAAACAAATTAACATGTTGACCAGACCACACACTAGAAGTTGAAGGGACGACGACGTTTCGGTCCGTCCTGGAACATTCTCGAGTCGATTGTGAATGGTCCAGGACGGACCGAAACGTGGTCGTCCCTTCAACTTGTAGTGTGTGGTCTGGTCAACATACTTCAGCCACGTTATTGTGACTCATCGCCTGCACATTAACATGTTGACCAAACCCGAAGAGTAAAGGGTAACACGACTGAAACATTAAGAACATAAGAACAAAGGTAACTGCAGAAGGCCTATTGGCCCATACGAGGCAGCTCCTATAATCTATAGGAGCTATTTATTTGCTCCTAAAATAGGAGCTATAGTCGTCCATTTATTTGGACGACAGGATATAACAAAGTAGATATGAACAGATTTTAAATATAACATAAAATAGAACACGAAATAATATATATATTAACTGGATAATTTTAGGTTCAAGAAAGACCTTGGTAAATACTGGTTTAAAAAAAAAAGAGTTGTTGATTTATGGAACAAATTACCAGGTGTTATAATACATGTGGGATCCCTGGATTGTTTCAAGCGTAGGTTAGACATATATAATTGTCATATATAATTGACATATATAATTGTCATATATAATAGATATATATAATTGTCATATATAATACATATATAATTGTCATATAATTGTCTTATATAATAGACATATAATTGTCATATATAATAGACATATAATTCTTCTTGCCAAGTAACTTTTTTGAGTTGGATGACATAATTAATCAGTAGGAATATATTTATATTTGATAAGCCAGTATAAGTCCTTATTTCACCACTCTGTAAACTAAAATAATTACGAGCAAGCGACAATAGATGCCAAGATGAGTGGGGGGCCGCGGAGTGCCGCTTGACCCACTTGGCACGAGTGCCAGCTCCCGGGCAAGATTGGTGGTACACTTACCCATCACCATCCTCTCGCTATCGGCCCCAAGACCCACCATTATCAGATACAAGTTCCTGCATTCTGCTTCGTCTCAACATAATGTAGGTTACGTATGGTGGGTTATGTGACGCGCGCATCTAGGTGTGCACCTAGATGCAACTGTCAGTTGCTAGTGTGTTGCTGCTGCAGGGCTGGGTGCAGCGGTGCCAGCAGCAGCAGCAGGAGGAGGAGCAGCAGCAGCAGCAGGAGGAGGAGGAGGAGGAGCAGCAGCAGCAGGAGCAGCAGGAGGAGGAGGAGCAGCAGCAGGAGGAGGAGGAGCAGCAGCAGGAGGAGGAGGAGCAGCAGCAGCAGCAGGAGGAGAAGCAGCAGCAGGAGGAGGAGCAGTAGGAGCAGCAGTGGTGGAAGCAGAAGCCGCAGCGGCAGCAGAAACAGCTGTAGTGACAGCAACACATGCTGACCCACATGGGATTCAGCGCTGGGAATTAACCACCAGTCATCAGGGATTGATCACTATGGCTTAGGTGTAACTGCTTACAAGTTGTAATTGGGTACAAGTGTTTACAAGCTGTCATTAAGGCGCGGTTTTGTAGCTGTCGATAGCAACACCCACTCCTTGTAGGAGGAAGATCTCACGGTCTACTCTAGTCTACTTAAGAGCCTTCAGAAATAAGACCATTATTGGTATATATGTTAACACCAAACATAGTCACAAGGAAATCCCACAGAACTGATATATCAACGAGACAATCAACTGGAGCAATGCGGGGATTCGAACCCTGGACCTGGTCCAGAGGTGAGGTGCGCGACTTGGGAGTACCCAAGTCAAAGGTTAGAATCCCCGCATTTGCACCAATTGATTTCACAGTGATTTAACAATTTAACAGCGTTTTGGCATTTACGGCTCCGGCGAGTGAAGCATATGGCCTCAGTGTGTTCTGCACTCTGGCTTATTCTCTAGCACAATGAACAACATTTAAGTCTTGATAACCAACTACAGATGTTATAAAGGCGATATATAAGCTAGGAGGATATTATGTTAATATCTCACCATTACCAACAAGAGTATAAAGGGGCGAAGCTCACTCAAGAAGCTTTTGTGGGGATTGTTGATGAGTCTTGCATAGTTGCCCTCGATTCCAAGATATTTATAAGACGCAGACGTCTCCACAGGCACTCCATTAATACATAGAGCAGCCTACCTGCCAATGTGTATGTTTCTCGGTGTGTATGAATACCGAATTTCTCGGTATTCTGCACGCTAATCTTATGATCAGTAAGGTATTTCAAGACAACATTTTCGTTACTCTTACATGGAATGAACCCGAGACAAAGCTGCGATAACGAGATCTGGTAAAAGAAAAGAGTCACCTCTCCCCAGGGCGCCTGACAACTAAGTGGACAGCGCTTCGGATTCGTAGTCCTGAGGTTCCGGGTTCGATCCCCGGTGGAGGCGGAGACAAATGGGCATAATGTTTGTTTCACCCTGATGCCCCTGTTACCTAGCAGTAAATAGGTACCTGGGAGTTAGACAGCTGCTACGGGCTGCTTCTTGGGAGGTGTGTAACAAAAAAGGAGGCCTGGTCGAGGACCGGGCCGCGGGGACGCTAAGCCCCGAAATCTCCTCAAGATAACCTCCACCCCCTCAACCCTTCTCTACACGACTGGCCTGTGTGTGTGTGTGTGTGTGTGTGTGTGTGTGTGTGTGTGTGTGTGTGTGTGTGTGTGTGTGTGTGTGTGTGTGTGTGTGTGTGTGTGTGTGTGAAACTGTCCCAGTCTCACTACTGCACCTCCACTCGCCATTGTGTAGCACTTGGAAGGAATATAAGGACCGAGTGAAGGAACGGTGCACAACTACATGGACCATCGGGGATCGAACGTCGACCCAGCAAGAAGCAAGACCGACTAGCCCAGGTCCAAGAACTACCACAGCTAGACCAGCAAGCTACTGTCATCACTGTGGCTTGCACTTAAACTATGGAGGAACATTTACCCACTATAGCAAGAATGAAACCAAGTGATAATGATATAAATATTTAAGTTACCTAACACACACATCTGAAGAGAGAGGAAGTGACGACGTTTCAGGCCATTATTAAGTCGGGTAAAGAAATACTAGTAAAGTCAATATAAAGGGTAAGAATGTAAGAATATATCAACTTACCATTCTTTCTTTACTCGACAAAAGGTTGAGGACAGACTGCAACGTCGCCACTTCTTTGACTTTCAGAGGTGTGAATTAGGCGCCTAATTCTGCCACGACATTGTTAGTGAGTGCCTGTGTGGCGCTTATCCTTGGCACCACGTGAGGGAGCAGTCACCACGTGAGGGAGCAGTCACCACGTGAGGGAGCAGTCACCACGTGAGGGAGCAGTCACCACGTGAGGGAGCAGTCACCACGTGAGGGAGCAGGCACCACGTGAGGGAGCAGTCACCACGTGAGGGAACAGTCACCACGTGAGGGAGCAGGCACCACGTGAGGGAGCAGGCACCACGTGAGGGAGCAGTCACCACGTGAGAGAGCAGTCACCACGTGAGGGAGCAGGCACCACGTGAGGGAGCAGGCACCACGTGAGGGAGCAGGCACCACGTGAGGGAGCAGGCACCACGTGAGGGAGCAGGCACCACGTGAGGGAGCAGGCACCACGTACGTGAGGGAGCAGGCACCACGTGAGGGAGCAGGCACCACGTGAGGGAGCAGGCACCACGTGAGGGAGCAGGCACCACGTGAGGGAGCAGGCACCACGTGAGGGAGCAGGCACCACGTGAGGGAGCAGGCACCACGTGAGGGAGCAGGCACCACGTGAGGGAGCAGTCACCACGTGAGGGAGCAGGCACCACGTGAGGGAGCAGGCACCACGTGAGGGAGCAGTCACCACGTGAGGGAGCAGGCACCACGTGAGGGAGCAGGCACCACGTGAGGGAGCAGTCACCACGTGAGGGAGCAGGCACCACGTGAGGGAGCAGTCACCACGTGAGGGAACAGGCACCACGTGAGGGAGCAGTCACCACGTGAGGGAGCAGGCACCACGTGAGAGAGCAGTCACCACGTGAGGGAGCAGGCACCACGTGAGAGAGCAGTCACCACGTGAGGGAGCAGACACCACGTGAGGGAGCAGTCACCACGTGAGGGAGCAGGCACCACGTGAGGAAGCAGGCACCACGTGAGGGAGCAGGCACCACGTGAGAGAGCAGTCACCACGTGAGAGAGCAGTCCGTGCTCCATCATTCTTACGTAATATACGGTATATAAATATATAAGAATATAAGTCTCGGCCTACAGTAGGCTTAGTAGTGTCTGGTGATCATTACCACTCTCAGCAAGTAATCCTGAGTTGTGACTAAGTGTTGTTGTTGTTGTTTCAGATTTAGCTACTCAGAATGAAGTGTTCATGTAGCACGGGCTATGGTGAGCCCGTATGTGACTAAGTGGTATGCGGCACCATAAGTAATGGCAGGTGTAGGCCTATCTCAAGTCTTACTCACAGCAAATATTACATCAGACCTCAAACGCGGATCACATATATTAAACACAGAAGTCACAATAGCGTGATGTATCAAATGAACAAAATCTGATTTTGATTTTGTCGAAATTTTGACCATGTCGTAGCTCAGTCGATTATGGCAGCGTCTGGAGTGATCTCGGACGCAGGTTCGAATCCTCGTCACAGCCCTTGTGGATTTGTTCATATATATTAACTTCCAGTGGACGAAACTGATCAAAAACAAATATATGATTAAATATTGAGTCCGTTAAAGAGCATCGAACCCTCGACCCGGGATTCCTCAGGTACAATCAATAATTATCAATACATGGCAAAAGTTATTTTTGTTATAAGCTAGAAGACTTATGAACAATTCTTCCCATACGATGAACACTTCCCAGACGTCGACTCTAGAACAGCACCTCAGTCAGGTTTTATTACTAGCAAATCTGTAAATCTAAACTCGTAAAAATTGTCGTTAAATCGGGGCCCTGTTTCTTAGAAAAATCTCCCCCGACCATTAGGGCATGTTGGCCACCGACTCCCCCGACCATTAGGGTATGTCGGCCACCGACTCCCCCGACCATTAGGGTATGTCGGCCACCGACTCCCCCGACCATTAGGGTATGTCGGCCACCGACTCCCCCGACCATTAGGGTATGTCGGCCACCGACTCCCCCGACCATTAGGGCATGTCGGCCACCGACTTCCCCGACCATTAGGGCATGTCGGCCACCGACTCCCCCGACCATTAGGGTATGTCGGCCACCGACTCCCCCGACCATTAGGGTATGTCGGCCACCGACTCCCCCGACCATTAGGGCATGTCGGCCACCGACTTCCCCGACCATTAGGGCATGTCGGCCACCGACTCCCCCGACCATTAGGGTATGTCGGCCACCGACTCCCCCGACCATTAGGGTATGTCGGCCACCGACTCCCCCGACCATTAGGGTATGTCGGCCACCGACTCCCCCGACCATTAGGGCATGTCGGCCACCGACTTCCCCGACCATTAGGGCATGTCGGCCACCGACTCCCCCGACCATTAGGGTATGTCGGCCACCGACTCCCCCGACCATTAGGGTATGTCGGCCACCGACTCCCCCGACCATTAGGGTATGTCGGCCACCGACTCCCCCGACCATTAGGGCATGTCGGCCACCGACTTCCCCGACCATTAGGGCATGTCGGCCACCGACTCCCCCGACCATTAGGGTATGTCGGCCACCGACTCCCCCGACCATTAGGGTATGTCGGCCACCGACTCCCTCGACCATTAGGGCATGTCGGCCACCGACTCCCCCGACCATTAGGGTATGTCGGCCACCGACTCCCTCGACCATTAGGGCATGTCGGCCACCGACTCCCTCGACCATTAGGGCATGTCGGCCACCGACTCCCTCGACCATTAGGGGCATGTCGGCCACCGACTTCCCCGACCATTAGGGCATGTCGGCCACCGACTCCCTCGACCATTAGGGCATGTCGGCCACCGACTCCCTCGACCATTAGGGGCATGTCGGCCACCGACTTCCCCGACCATTAGGGCATGTCGGCCACCGACTTCCCCGACCATCAGCTCCCTCACACCATTATCTCTCCAGCCATTAAACAAAGACTTGCCTTGAAATGTAAACTTTTCATTGTGTTGATAAAAACAAGAGGTCACGACCACTGGTCGGGAGCCTGGGACCACTGGTCGGGAGCCTAAGACCACTGGTCGGGAGCCTGGGACCACTGGTCGGGAGCCTAGGACCACTGGTCGGGAGCCTGGGACCACTGGTCGGGAGCCTAGGACCACTGGTCGGGAGCCTAGGGACCACTGGTCGGGAGCCTAGGACCACTGGTCGGGAGCCTAGGACCACTGGTCGGGAGCCTTGGACCACTGGTCGGGAGCCTAGGACCACTGGTCGGGAGCCTAGGACCACTGGTCGGGAGCCTAGGACCACTGGTCGGGAGCCTAGGACCACTGGTCGGGAGCCTAGGACCACTGGTCGGGAGCCTGGGAGGAGCCTAGGACCACTGGTCGGGAGCCTAGGACCACCACTGGTCGGGAGCCTAGGACCACTGGTCGGGAGCCTAGGACCACTGGTCGGGAGCCTAGGACCACTGGTCGGGAGCCTAGGACCACTGGTCGGGAGCCTAGGACCACTGGTCGGGAGCCTAGGACCACTGGTCGGGAGCCTAGGACCACTGGTCGGGAGCCTAGGACCACTGGTCGGGAGCCTAGGACCACTGGTCGGGAGCCTAGGACCACTGGTCGGGAGCCTAGGACCACTGGTCGGGAGCCTAGGACCACTGGTCGGGAGCCTAGGACCACTGGTCGGGAGCCTAGGACCACTGGTCGGGAGCCTAGGACCACTGGTCGGGAGCCTAGGACCACTGACCGTGGTCCACCTCCAGATGTAAACTGCGACAAATCCCTTACATTGCATATAAGTTTATATATTAGTATATAAGGGATACCACCCTATATTTCCTCGGAGAAGGAAATATCAGGGCTCCGAGGGATCCACTTATGGCTCTCAACTATCCACTTATATATGTCTTCAATCCCTTCCACTTATTTATTTTTATTAATTGTATTTATTAATTATTTTATTTACCGAAACTCTTGATCCCATCTTTTATATGTGTAAAGTTGGTCAGCCTGATCAATGTACTCACCTAGTTGTGCTTGCAGGGGTTGAGCTTTGGTTCTTGGGTCCCGCCTGTGTATTTCTTGTCTTGATAAAGGAGTCGAGTTTAATTTAAACACAGACTAGGATCATTTAAATATATTAACGGAGAATGTTGAGCTTGGCTCTTGGGGCTGAGGTCAAAGTTCACGGCCAATCTATCCTCAAGGTCCTTCAAGTCGCAATTTCCTCTCGTATAATATTACAATGTTCAACTTATGGAGGTTAAAAATAAAGATGTCCAAACAACATATTTAGAAAGGAAACTGCTAAAGGTCTATTGTCCCATACGAGGCAGCTCCCATTGTCCCATACGAGGCAGCTCCCATTGTCCCATACGAGGCAGCTCCCATTGTCCCATACGAGGCAGCTCCCATTGTCCCATACGAGGCAGCTCCCATTGTCCCATACGAGGCAGCTCCCATTGTCCCATACGAGGCAGCTCCCATTGTCCCATACGAGGCAGCTCCCATTGTCCCATACGAGGCAGCTCCCATTGTCCCATACGAGGCAGCTCCCATTGTCCCATACGAGGCAGCTCCCATTGTTCTATACGAGGCAGCTCCCATTGTTCTATACGAGGCAGCTCCCATTGTTCTATACGAGGCAGCTCCCATTGTCCCATACGAGGCAGCTCCCATTGTTCTATACGAGGCAGTTCCTATTGTCCCATACGAGGCAGCTCCCATTGTTCTATACGAGGCAGTTCCTATTGTCCCATACGAGGCAGCTCCCATTGTTCTATACGAGGCAGTTCCTATTGTCCCATACGAGGCAGCTCCCATTGTTCTATACGAGGCAGTTCCTATTGTCCCATACGAGGCAGCTCCCATTGTTCTATACGAGGCAGTTCCCATTTATATATATCCGAATATGTTTGTTTGGGTGCCTCGCATGGGCCAAAAGGCATTCTATAGTTTTCTTTATTCCTGTGTTCTTATGTTAAGGCCTCTTAATTTTCACCCCGTGTTTGATCTAGTTTACACTAATACTACACTAACACCAGGGCCAGGATTCACCAGGCATCTACCCACCCACTTACGAAACCTGAATATCCATCAACAATCATAACGCCTTTGTTTACATTTATTTAACAGTTTACGAGTTTCGAAATTTTACGGCCCAAGGTTGTTATTGCTATAAACAACCTCGCAGTGCTTCGGAGGCTCATAAACTGTTTAATCAATTTAAAGAAAGGCGCAATAATTGACAAAAGATGTACAGGTTTCGTAAGTGGTTGTGTGACTGCTTGATGAATCGTGGTCCATAGCATAGTAACATTGAGAAGGTCGCGCTGGACACAAGGGGGCACTAGGGTATCTGGCAGCCTCTCCTAAGGCTATATATATATCTATATTTGAACACAGCGGGTACGGAGATACAAGCAAGGAATGAGGCAACATTTATAAGGGCCAATGGCCCCTGCAGATTAAATTCATTCTTATATTAGGCTATTCTCGACAAAACTCGACCGAATATAACCAACATTCATAATTTTTTCTTATAAGTCAATGTATACATTAGGTTAATGCTTGTGCCTGGCTTGGAGAGGCTGCGTTAGGCGGCACTTTATGCACTAGTAAACTAAACTTGGTGGAACATAAGCTTGTATGTTCTCGGTGTAAGGCTCCCATGCACCAATCTACAAGAGCAGTGTTCAACATAGAAAATGGTAACTACATAACCGACTGGTGCTAGTATAACTATTCTAACCTCGTATAGATGTGGCTTTTGTTAGGTTACTGCGCATATTTTTATGTAAATTCGTATAGGTTGTACGCATGTCCCGGATGAAACTAGGCAGTACAACAAATGCTCTCCGATTCCCTTCTATCGTAAGCCAGTCGACGCCAATTTGGATGTTAATAATGCATGAGAATGCGGATTCGATTAAAACGCATGACCTAAATATTTCATTGTGCGCTAATGCTTCATACTTTTCCTGATATCAGGGACCACGAACTCCCTCCTCCCTGAGGACAGGTTAGCGACGCACAAGTTCTGGAATGCAGGGAGTTGCCACATCAAAGCGACTCCCGTAAGCCTCGCCCGGGAATTTTACCCAATAGGCCCTCTGGCAGAGGCTGATGTGGCTGCCGCGTTTTCAGTGCTGCTTTCTGGTGCGCTACTCCCAACCCGTTCTCGCAAATTTAATAAGTCAATATTGACTTATTAAATATGTGCATAGGTGACATACTTAACATAATAGATACTCTTAAAAAGATTCATAGAAAACACCGACCTTACCTAACCTTGTTAGTATCTTAAGATAAGCCTACAATCCCTCGCCTACAATCATTACCCCCAGTCTGGACAAACACGATTATCTAAGAAATACCGAAGGCTACATACGACGATGGTATATAAAGTTATGTAGACAGCAAGTTACAATAACGGGGCTGAAATTTAAACACCCCCCATCCACACATGAAAATGACCGAATTGGCGACGTTTCGGTCCGTCGTGGACTGGATCATCGTTAATGGTCAACGACGGACCGAAACGTCGTCACATTCTTTATGTATAAAGTCAAAACGTAATGAATTTTAGCGTATTAGTTTCAACTGATGGATCGATCGAATTTGTATTGGTTTAAGGAACTTAAAAAAATGCCGAATCTCTCGTCCATATTTCTCCTTTTAATATTAGGGAACATCTATGACTGATAAATTTATATAGACAAACAGATATCGATTTTTAGTCATATATATACCTACATTTTACTTTTTTTTCCTACATTTTACATATATAATTATTTTCACCATTAACTTATACAAATTTAACGTCAGCATGGTAAAAGTATATTCGCCCCTATTTACCCAGCAGTAACTGGGGGACTTGGGTGTAAACAGACAGGCTGGTCGTGTTCCTCAATATACTACTTGGTTAAAACAAAAAGTCGTGGGAAGGGAAAGCTCTAAGCTTGCTTACAAAAGCCAGAAGTTATTTGCTTCTGTACTCATCTGTGTAAAAAAGTATATAGTATAAGAGTGGAATGGAACACGCTTCCTGTGGGTCACAAACTTGGCATTCTAGTGGGGATTGTGTTCGTCTAGGCGTTGGGGTGACCCAGGACGTGAGTTCGACTCCACTCACTGCTCCACAGATTAAAAAATTCACTCGTGGATATATCACGGTACTGTGAATTCATTATGCAATGTGGTTAATGTTATGGCGAGCTGTGAAACGGCACTGTGTGACCGTGAACTGGTGCATCTTGTGGCACTGGTGACAGATCAGTTCTCCAACCTCACATCATTTAGATTGAACGGTACAGCGACGGCCCCATAGCAGGCAGGGTCGGCGTTCGATCTCCCGATGGTCAAAGTGGCCAATCAGTCCTCATATCCCAGCTCTTACTCGGTCGTCAATTACTCTTCCAGGCGCTACAGCCATATTGGCTAAGCGCTTTCTCCAGGCAATTACCGTTCCTCATAATTACCTCACACGATAATTACCATAATAACTACATTTCTTGACAATTACATTTGCTCGTAATAACCTACTCTGATAACGCTAAACTTTAACGTGGTGTTGTGACTGTTGTGATTGATATAGTGGGAGAGGTGTGGCTAGACCGCTACGATTTATGCAGCACCACACACACCACAACCAGCGCCGCTCCTGTGCCAGGTAAGTCCACTACGGGCTCACCATAGCCCGTGCTACTTGCCTCGCTCCTATGCCAGGTAAGTTACGGGCTCACCATAGTCCGTGCTACTTGGAACTTGTTCCGAGTAGCTGAATCTATAACAACAACAATACCAA